AATAAATAAAAAAAGAAGAAATAGAAAAAAAATATATATTTAAATTTATACAATACACTAATTCCACAAAAACGTGTAGCTAAATAAAAACAAAATAAAATACTAATATTAATTCACTCCATCATCCAGCAGCAAAACCAATTCTCTGCAGCTGCAGAGGTCAAAGAGGACAAGTGGAATTAATGAAGCAAAGAGAGCATACGAAATATGAATAAAATATAATATATAGGCCACATCAAACTCTGCAAGCCACACCTAGCCTGGCATCTAGAGCAGTTGATGAAACAGCACATGGAGCCAACCTGGTCTCACCTGCGCATCACATGGCATTCATCACATTCTTGGCACACATGGCCTTAATCACGTATTGTCAATCTTAGCACTTGGCAGTGAAACAGATCACAAGGCTGGCGAATTGTGATACCTCCACAGTAGCTCTGACTCTTTATGAATATGGGCAATTATTTAAGATTTTCACTGAAGTTGGTTTATTCATTTTTTGGCAACTTTCACACAGAAGGCCGATTTCGTAAGACATTTGGCCAGAGCTTGTTGCCAAGTATACAGATTTTATTTATAGCTATAGATTTCATTTGAACTGACCACAGTCACGCTGCGACAGCGACAGCGGCAGCGACATTGGCGTCTACGTCGACTGCGACGTCACATGCTCGCCAGAGAATTTCTGAACCTGGAACAGACTTTCATCAATTTAATATTTTCGTCTGTTTTTATGGCTTTTTGGCTACTTGCGTCACTCTCGCAATTTATTTTAATTATTTTGTTGTCCACGCGCTTCAAACGAACTTAAATGGATGCGAAATGGAAACGGAGGCACGTCCCATTTAATTAGAGCAACGGTTACTCTACTTCATGCACGTTGCGCCTTATCTTATCAAACAAAATATATACCATTCGATTAGCCAGGCTAATTCTCAATGTGTGTGCGCTGTACGACGTGTGCTACCGGCTACCGGTGTTAATTACCATTTAATTAGCATTCATTAAGATGTCTGCTCCGCACATACAAGCATGCATACATACATATATCAAAACGAAACCACGCCATAACTTTGCAGCTTTTTAAGATGTTTTTCCTGTTGCTGTCACCGAACCTTGACAGCAATAACAAATCCTTAAAGCATAGCCAGCGATTTATGGAAATTTCATTTTGTTTTTGCTTTCAGCTGAATTTCATGACAAGGCAAAAGCTAATGGCCAATAAACGCACTTGAACCATGCCGAAAAAAAAATCATCAAAAGCGAGCCACGTTCTGCGGCTCACGTGCGACGCGGCTTAAACCTTTAGGTATTTCGTCTTAGCGATTACGCATCAATTTATGCATATTTAGTATGGATATATGTATGTATGTGTGTGTGTGAAAGAAAAAACCCATACTCAAATGAGTTGAGAGTCAGACCCAGTTCCAAGCTCCAAGTTCCAGTTAGCAGCCAGACGTCATAGTGCGGAACTTTCGGCACTGCAGCTGCGTGCAAATTAATTGAAAAATTTCATGCCCCCTCTGACCCCCGAATCAGTCAACGCTGTTTGAGCTCAATGAAAGCAAACAAATGTGTGTACTTGAGCGCTAAATACCCTGCAATTAGTAGAGTAAATATATATTATATAAATATGTATACTATGCATAGCTGTTAAAGCTTTCTGTATGTCAATTATTATCAATGCTTATTAAATCAAGCGCTTACATCTATATATTGCTAGTGCTTAATGTGTAAGCCTGGTATACCCTATTTTAAATTAAAAATTAAATGGTAATTTAAATATTCTCATTTCATCCACTCCAAACCCCTTCAAATTTAAGCAGGGTATCAGCCACTGGCCTCAATGAATTTTTGTGAATGGTTATAAAAAAAGAGTCAGCAAAAATTTTTGTATTTCTTTCTAAATTAATTTGTTGGTCAAAAAACCCAGCAATTTATTTTTCCTCTAAGCTCCTTAGTTAGGATTTTACTTTTACTAAATGTTGCTAAATAATGAAGCGGTAACAAATTTTGTTAGCCACATTTTATGTTTTGATCATAATTGTGGCATTTTGTTTGTTATGCTGCGGAATGTTGGGCAATTGGACATTTTGGGGCTTTGGTTTTTGCATTGCTTTAATTTTAAAAATAAAATTTGTGGTTATTTTAAAAACAAAGCTTCAGCGCCAAGGCCATTTATTTTCATGTACAAAATATTCTTTTTATATACGTTCGATAAAAATGCTTTGTTAGTGCTGAGTTGCCGCCATGGTAGCATTTACGTCATTTGCCGAAATCCGTTGAAATTTGACAAGAAAACGAGTTTCATGCTGACCCATGGGGAAGTTCCCCCGCCACCAGACAAACAACATTGAAGCGTGCTCCAATTGCGCGCACTTCGTCCGGCTCCACTTGGCCATTGGCCATTGGCCATTGGCCACTGGCTCTTGGCCAGACGCCTTGCTCTACGCAGTTCCGTTTCATGCTCGGCCGTACAAGCAATTACTAAATAAATACATCAATTAGAGCGCCAACGCACAGTGACCTACACGACGCAACGTCGAACGCTGAGCAGCTCTCAAGTGCAGCTTATAACTGCACTGAGAGAAAAAGTGTTTATTTGTGTTGTGCTGATGTTGATGATGATAATGATTGTTATTATGAATAATCATAATCATAATGAAAATAATTTTTATTTTTATAATTTTTTTTTTTTTAATTTAATAG